ATAATAATGATGAGGTGATAAGGAATTAACATTACATCCATCACGCTCCAATGCAGAAGTAATAAACTTATTTGCGGCGGAACTTGTTAGCTGCCAACGCCTGATGCTACAAGAATGTTGGAACGACAGCGTCATTTATTGGGACGCAAAACTACTTGGAATTTTTATCTCTGTGGAGTATTATAAAAGTTATGAATCCAATGAGAAAAATGTTACGTTCATTGTTGAGGGCACTCTCGCATCTCTCTCTGATCGGGTTAAGGCCATCCTCTGAATTAGAGGTATTTGTAACGTGTATACGCGGTTCACTTTGTGAAGATCAGATTTTACTAATTATTAAACATTTGACCATGAGGTATGGCTAAGGAGCTCAGTTTCGCAGCCCGTACTATGAAGGGGTTATGCGACCACGCAAGGACGCGTCTGTCCTCCAACACTCCTTTTAGCCAGCATCTTCCACATCAGCGACTGTTTTCCAGGACGTCACGGCACGCCGGAACAGGATACGCCAGGCACAGCGGAGCGACATCCGCTATCCGCCCTTCCATCATTACGGGAAGGAGCGACACGACACCTGGCCGCTAAAAGGATGTCTGAAGAGCACCGCATGAGCACGACGTGGCATACCCGCATCGATGCATTGCGACGGTATCTGGGTAATCATCTCCAAATGACTCGGGAGGCAAAAACCACACACAGGACAACGCCGTCTTTTGCCTTCCCTCGAGCGGAGTTCCCAGGAAACAAGGCCCCAAGCACAGGTGAACCTGGACCCAAGTTTTCTATGTTTCAACAAACATTCGTCTTTCTTTGCAAACCAGCAACGAGACAACAACAAGGACATCAATAGCAGCAACAACAAGGCCAGCATACAAGAAATTGATTGACCACTCCTTTTGAAGGACACCACGACCCACAACATCGAGGCCGTCCGAGGATTGCCCACAGCGCATACAGCTTCCAAAGACTTCTTGGAGCGTGCGCCACGTTACGGGCAACAACAGCAACACAGCCACCGGCAGAGTGCAGGGACTAGGCACCCACCGACACAAATGGCATCAGCATCACCGCATCCAATCATACAACACCCGGCCGCCGGGACGACTCTCGCCATTTCCAACACAACAATGGCCGTCTCCCAGAAGGTTTTTACGGAGTGAATCTCCTTGCGGTCGCCGAGTTGACACGACGACGACGCCTCATTTACCAAGGGCTGGTCATATCTTTACATGGTCGATATGTGGCTGTCCATGGGTAGTGGTTCAATACACGTAATAATTTCAGCACGCCTCCCAGAGTGCCAAATTACGTTATCACGGTGTGGTGGTAGTAGTGGATGGGTATCGAGCAAATAATCACCAAGCAACGCGACAGTTGCGTGATGTACGAAAACGTTTGTCAGATCAACAGCAGCGAGCTGAACGGGAATTACTGCGGAATTTAGTTCAGCATAGCTCACATTGGGAGCATTATCAACTTTA